ACTTCTATGCTGAGTCATCACCCTCTTATTAAAAAGCACTAGTTGGAGAGCACCACTGTCATTTGCATTCATTACTGTTAGTTTACATTGAGTATGACTTGACTGGATCTCTTTTACCATGAATTACAATGTCTAGTCAGTCCTTGGTCTTTAAAGGTGCTCGCATTTATGTTTTGCGGTCTCAGAAAGGGCTAGCGAGGTACCATCTTGTTATATCATATTATGATTGTTTTGAGAAAGTATTGTCATCCGAGATTTATTATTATGGCTCGCTAGTTGATTATGCTATTGATATGAGTAAACTTAAGACCTATGCGTTATTGTGAATGTGGTTAGTTATAATCTTTGCTGAAAACTTGAATGCTGGCTTTATATATTTACAACAACAAGAGCAAACAGAGTTTGTAAAATTTTTTCTTTATCTCTTTCAGTTTGTCAACTGAATTGCTTGAGGACAAGCAAATGTTTAAACTTGGGAGAGTTGGTACGTCTCCATCGTATCTACTTTTCCAAACACTTTTGCCCTTGTTTTGGACTCTAACTTGCATGATTTGAATGGAACTAATCCGGACTGACGCTGTTTCCAGCAGAATTACCATGGTGTTATTTATGTGCAGGAGCAAACGTTCTCGGAATGACCTGAAACTTCACGGAGACACTTTTCAGAAAATAAGAGTAATACCTACAAAAGATGAAGGCCAGAGGGCCCACCACCTTGCCACGAGGGTGGGGGGCGCGCCCCCCTACCTCGTGGGCCCCCTGTTGCGTCTCTGACTCCAACTCCATATATTGAGTTTCGGGGAGAAAAAAATCAGAGAGAAGAAATCATCACGTTTTACGATACGGAGCCGCCGCCAAGCCCTAAAACCTCTCGGGAGGGTTGATCTGGAGTCCGTTCGGGGCTCCGGAGAGGGGAATCCGTCGCCATCGTCATCATCAAGCATCCTCCATCACCAATTTCATGATGCTCACCGCCGTGCGTGAGTAATTCCATCGTAGGCTTGCTGGACGGTGATGGGTTGGATGGGATCTATCATGTAATCGAGTTAGTTTTGTTAGGGTTTGATCCCTAGTATCCACTATGTTCTAAGATTGATGTTGCTATGACTTTGCTATGCTTAATGCTTGTCACTAGGGCCCGAGTGCCATGATTTCAGATCTGAACCTATTATGTTTTCATCAATATATGAGTGTTCTTGATCCTATCTTGCAAGTCTATAGTCACCTATTATGTGTTATGATCCGTTAACCCCGAAGTGACAATAATCGGGATACTTACCGGTGATGACCGTAGTTTGAGGAGTTCATGTATTCACTATGTGTTAATGCTTTGTTTCGATTCTCTATTAAAAGGAGGCCTTAATATCCCTTAGTTTCCGTAAGGACCCCGCTGCCATAGGAGGGTAGGACAAAAGATGTCATGCAAGTTCTTTTTTCCATAAGCACGTATGACTATGTTTGGAATACATGCCTACATTATATCAATGAACTGGAGCTAGTTCTGTGTCACCCTAGGTTATGATTGTTACATGATGAACCGCATCCGGCATAATTTTCTATCACCGATCCATTGCCTACGAGCTTTCCATATATTGTTTTTCGCTTATTTACTTTTCCGTTGCTATTGCTCTCATCACTACAAAAAACTAAAAACATTTCTTTTACTACTGTTACCTTTTGCTATCGTTACAACTACTATCATATTACTTTGTTACTAAACACTTTGCTGCAGATATTAAGTATCCAGGTGTGGTTGAATTGACAACTCAGCTGCTAATACTTGAGAGTATTCTTTGGCTCCCCTTGTGTTGAATCAATAAATTTGGGTTGAATACTTTACCCTCGAAAATTGTTGCGATCCCCTATACTTGTGGGTTATCAAGTACTGGCAAGAACCGAGGAGGCTGCCGAGGACATTAGAGATTATTGCGTGACGGGACATCCAATTTTCAGTGGCAATGTAGGAAATATTTCACGTTCCCGGCCTCTCCTTGGGGGCAGTGATAAAGAATTTACGCCTTGTTCAAAGGAACCGAGGGAGTACTCCCTCAGTCCGTGAATAAGTATACTTCAACCTTTTGTCCAAAGTCAAAGTTTTTAAATTTTTGATCAACTTTATAGAAAAGAGTTGTAACATATATGACATCAAATTGGTATATTATGAAAGTACATTTCAAAGCAGATCTAGTGATACAAATTTAGTGCCATAAATGTTGCTACTTTTCTCTATAAAGTTGGTCCAAATTTTAAAACTTTGACTTAGGACAAAAGCTAGAAGAACACTTATTCGCAGACGAAGGGAGTATATGCTAATGCCAGTATGCTTGATTAGCACAGCCGTGCCATTGTGACAATTAATTAGTTGGAAAGCCTCAACCATATGTTGAAACGGCAAAATTTTAGGCTCTAAACAAAGAGAAGTTAAAACGAGCAAATCCAGCACGAGGTTAGCTGAGGATAAGGTATATTTCTACAGTTTGCTATCACCTAAGTAAGAGCGCTTGAGTGAAATGCATTCGTAAGCAAACTAGTATTTCTGCTCTAATTGCAAGAACAAGTTGGCTCATGACTTCAGAATTGTGAAGGAGACAGTACTAGATTCCATATGTGGGTTTAATGACATACATAAATTGACATCACATGTTCCAAACTATGCCCAGACAATAGCCTTGAAATATTTTCATGTAATTATTGGTAACTCCTTTCTGGACCTTGCATCAACTAAAAATTGATAGTCCATTCATCAGTGTTTTTAGTTCTGTGGAATTCCATGTTATTTATCAGGTTACATGTATATTACCAAAAATCAAAACTGGTGGAACCCATAGGAGTTTGTTCAGAGAATTTTCTTAAGAGATATTGGCAAGATTGCATTTGTCCTTAATCCAGAAAAGGGGTTTTCAATATGGAGGTTGATCTTTGTTTCCCTTGTCCTATTTTCGTATCTATTTTTTTATTTGTCATTAAGTTACTTTCCAAAATGTACTTTTGCCTTGAAGTTCTTGTTACATGTAAAAGTTTAACCGAGGAGGAAGGAAATCAAGACATAGCTAATCTATCGGGAAGAGGGAGGGAGATGCAATCTATTAATCATGTAAGATGTATACAAGTCACTTGAGTGGGACAACCTAAGACATGTAAATTAAAAGATTGCAAAACTGTCACATTTATAAGAATTATATGAAGCTATGTGTGGTTCATAGTTTTGCCTGCTCAAGTATAACATTATGCTAAGTCCTCTACCGGTAACATAATTTTGCGTATTTTACTTGAAACTTTTTGTGCGATGGGCAGTGAATTAACCACCATTTTGTCATGCTCGAGAGTCAGGGAGATTAACCATCATTTTGTCATGTTCTGGAATCAGAGAGCGGTCGGGGTCTAGCAGGCTGTAGTGGCCATCTCCTTTCTTCTGGATCCAAGGCGACCGGGAACGGGGCTGGGCGGGTGCCGGTGGTCCCGGCCACACGCATGAGGGGGATGGCGAAGATCTAGGATTCGTGCTTGGGCGGGCTAGTTCTGGGCTCAAGGCGGGTCGGAGTTGTGCTCCGGGTAGGTGAGGTGGGGCTCGGTCTAGGATGTGACCGTAGTTCATTGCGGGCGTGGTGGTCCTTGGCGAAGACGTCACCTCTTTGTCTGGCAGATCGGCGTGATGACCATGGGCATGGCGTTGTGTGAGCTTGCTCGCCGACGGTCGTTGGTAGTCACTTTTTTTATTGACAAGTATTTCTCATTTATGTGTGATTGCAAGAACAATAGTACAAATAGTCAGAAATTATTTTGGTTGACAAATACGATGAGCTGGGTATGAGAAAGGAGATAAGACTTCCTCTTTGTCTTTTGTGCTTCACAAGGTCACTCACATGCACACAGCGGCACAACCGGATAAAATGGTCTCATACAGTCTGACCTACAGTGGCATATCATTAATGCCGGGAAGAAAGTTACTACTAAATCACATATGGCCTGACAATCATCTGACATGCAATAGGCCCAATGCATCTATCCCGAGACAATGAGCACTCAACTTTAACTTTCCAATCTTTTATTGTGTAGTTCACACTACTCCTCTGTCACAGTTTACAAGGCGCGCTTCAGCAATTTGATCAAATTTACAGAAAAAACTACATTCTGAAACTTTGGTAATTTGGGCCATATTTTGACAATGATTTTAACTAATAAGATATACTAGCTTGTACTTAGCAAAAACAATATCATTGAAAACAACATTCAAATCTGAATCCAACAACATAAATTACGATGACATGCATTAACATTTTGCTAGTCAACTACGATGGCGACTAATATAGACACACAGAGGTAGTACTGACCAGAGAACCGAGAAGGAAGCCGAGGACACGAGAGATTAATGTGTAACGGGAGATCCGATTTTCATGGTTAATATAGGAAAGATTGCACGTTCTTGTCCTCTCCTTGGGGAAATGGCAAAGAGGGAGTATATGCCAATCTGAGTATGCTCGATTAGCGCAGTGGTGCCATTATGACACTCGATCGAGGTTGGGGTCAACTACTTAAGAGCCACTCTAGAGTATAGATCTTTGTACAAA